TTAAGTCCTAGAAGGTTTCATAGGACTTAAACACAAGCTGAAGGTGCGTTCAGGTACTTTCAGAAAGGAGACCTGAAGCATACAGGTAGTTCCCTTCTGGATTTTGATTCAGTGGGGCTGGATTGTAGCCACTCATGGTGCTGTTTTAAGAGGATTTTCAAAAAGCAGCGATTTGGCTGTGAAAACACTGCGAATAATCTGATGTCCTCCTTGATCTTGCTGTTACCCTGCTAGCACAGTCACTTTAAGGTAAGCACCAAACTTTTCCCAGTCTCTAAAGTCCATGGAAAAAACAGAAAAGGGGGAAAAAACCCTTTCCTTAGTGTTTTTAAATATCATGATTCTTTCCTAGTGTTTGTGTTCTCATCACAAGTAACAGCCCAGTGAGACACTGCTCTCCTTTGCCTGAGGCGCCACACAGGCATTTGCACTCAAGGGTTTTATAATTTATTGCTGCCCTGATGCTGAACCCATGCAGCCCTGTTTCTGCTGCTTTCTGTGCCAGAGTGCGAGCTGGAGCTCGCGCCTCCAGCAGCGTCAGCCATGGTACCCGAGGCCGCTCCGGTGGTCACTGTCGTGGCACATCCAACCTTCATGCATCTGTAGGATGCTCGCCACAGCGGGGCAGTCCCCACCGGCTTGGAGTGAGAATTGCTGCTGTATTGAGTCAGCCACGTCAATACCAGTGGTGATTTTCCATTTATTGTATCCAGCAGCCCATTGATATCATCCCTAAATGAATGTTTCATTAGGGAATGCAGACAGAAATGGGAGGCAGCAATTATTTGACTAATTTAGAGCTGGAACATTTCACCCGGCTTCTTCCAGTAAAAGAATTGCTGTGAGGTGTGACCTCCATATCACGTAACATGGAGATTTTTTTCAAGCTGAAGCCCAGCTGATGCTTCATCTTCATCCAGCAATACTGCTCCAGCAGTGGGTCACTAACAGGAAAATCCACTTGACCATGATGATGCTTATGTGTGGGGGGAGTATAAGACCTTTTGAAAAGAAGCCCAGATAGACTCTCTCTTCTGCAGCTGTATTGGTCCATTGCACGCTAACTACTTTCTGAGTTAAGGGCTGGGGCACAGCTGTGGTTTTCTTAAAGCATGTTATTAACAGATCAGCATAGCCACTCAAACTCAAGAGTCATCCTGTTGCTTAAACATGAGAAAAAGCGCCCTGATTATTTTTAATATTTTTTTTTCTCCAACACCTGGCATAAGAAACGGAAAAAGAAAATTATTTTGAGGCAATGGACTCAAAGTTGCCTGTCAGTGGAGTGTGAGATGGAAATTTGAGGATGGAAACTGAGGGCAAAGTAGTGCTGCAGTGTAGCTCTTCACTGTGTTATGTCCCAGATCAAAGGATAATATAGGGTTGAACTTGGATCTGCTGGATAAAATAATGTTGCAAATAAGGATAGGTCAGGAAACCACCTGGTAACTGTCTTATGCTTTCAAGTTTGGGTTTGTTTTTTTTTTAACATCATTAGACATGCATGAGTTACCATGACATTTTGGACTGCATAGATGCTGCCATGCCTGACTGATGCTTCAGAACTTGGCTGCAGCTCATAGTATAAACATAACCCCATCCCAGGCAGAAAAGTTGGTAAAGTGATGGTTCATTAGTGCAATCTTTTGCTCTTGTTTGTTTCCTTTTATTAAACCAGACCTCTTCTATGCTCCGTGGCACGGTCTCCTCCACAGAAGGAAACGGCCAGTGATAAATACTGAGATTTAGTACTTTATACCTACCTCAGAAATATTTAAATGAGAACGCTCTCTGTGGTAATCTTTGAAAACAGACTGCTGTGTTGTATGAAGACAGCAATTTTCTCCTCCAAAATCAAATGATCCTAGCAAAAATCAGAACGATGATGTGGAGGAACTACAGTCAATTCACTCCTTAAAAAATGGTTTTGTAGTGTGATATTCCCTTACTAAGATCTGAATAGTGCATTCAGATAATAGCTGGATATAAATGCTTGATATAATTGCTAGATAGAAATGCTGAGAACAACTAATCAGCAAATTGTACTCTTAGGCTTGCCCAGACACTTTCTAAAAGGAAATTACTGCTATAAACCATTTTCCATTTAATCCCTTGTGCTTTCAGTTCTTGGAGGCTGCTTGATAAAATGAAAAGAAAAAGCAGTAAATAACTGAGAGGCCAGCTCAGAAACAGGGTGCAAGTGAAATCTTTAGTCGTCAGTGTGTACCTGGAGATCACCCTCATCATCACGATCGCTGTGGTTGCGCTGGCCGTGAAACAGTGACTGCTCGTGGTTTCTTCCCTTACTCTTTTCAACAGTTGGAATAATTTTCTGTCATAACTTTGTTATGGGCATCTTGGTCCTTCAGTTCTTTCCTATCCACTCTCATCTTTCTAACAGCCTTAGCCTCAATGTTTAATGTCATTACACGGTACCTAAATTAATGAGGAAGGTGCAGATGTGCACCACTGCACCAGGTCGTACCTTTCCTGACCAAGTCAATCTCTTATGGGATCGAGCAGGAGTTCGCCAGTCTGGCAGCAGCCACAGGCAGCTATGGGCAGCAGGCAGCAGCTGTCAACATCTGGGCAGCTCACCTACTCTCCTCCCAGGTTGCTTAGTGCAGCACGACCACCAGAGAAGCTGCTAGGAGAACATCAGCCTCAACTGGGCCCTGAGGTTTATTATCAGCACTAAGCACTAATGAGCATTGGCTTTCCCACATAGTGAATTGGTTCTGGTGGCATAGTCAGAGCCTGCTTTGCTGCGAGGGAGCCTGTGATGGTCTTTGCAGATGAAATATCAGTGAACAAAGTCTCACTTTATCTTGGTTTAAGTGAAATACAGCTGTAAAGTAAGCAGCCAGATCCAGCCCAAAACTCACTGTCCGGAGCAGAGGTTCCTCAGCAGCCCGTGGTGAGGGCAGGCTGTGCCCTGCAGCCAAGGAGGGTCACAGGTGGCAGAGACCCCCCTGCAGCCCGGAGATGACCCCACGCTGGAGCAGGGGGATGTGCCCAAAGAAGCCCGTGACTCTGTAGGAAGCCGGTGCTGGAGCAGGCTGCTTCTGGAGGACTGCACCCCATGGAAGGGACCCACACTGGAGCAGGTCATGAAGGGAAGACCTTCACAGGAAAGGCTCACATCAACGGGTCACAGGTGGCAGAGACCCCCCTGCAGCCCGGAGATGACCCCACGCTGGAGCAGGGGGATGTGCCCAAAGAAGCCCGTGACTCTGTAGGAAGCCGGTGCTGGAGCAGGCTGCTTCTGGAGGACTGCACCCCATGGAAGGGACCCACACTGGAGCAGGTCATGAAGGGAAGACCTTCACAGGAAAGGCTCACATCAACGAAGTTCATGGAGGACTGTCTTCCATGGAAGGGACCCCACACTGGAGCATGGGAAGGGTGTGAGGAGTCCTTCCATATGAGAAGACTGGAGCGGCGGAGACA